GTTCATAGAAGGGGCGGTTTTGTAGTTTGAGGATCATGAGCAGGCGGGGTTATTTCACAAGGTAGAGCCTAGGAAGATGTTTTGTACTTGGAAAATACATGCATTATATGCACATGTATGTGCTCGAGTGCCTGTAGTGTCTTTGTATTCTCAAAGTTGCTCTATGTTGACAGTGGCTGTTTTGCCTTGGGCTTGAGGGTGAAATACTAGGTTGTGGTGTCAAATAGATAGGGGCTGAGGAGTTTTGATTCTGAGGCCAATTGAGCAATGGACTGAAGGCATTCATCACAACATGTTTATTGCAGCCTCAATCATAAGTTATAGTATCTCATATCTCATTAAGTAGGAAAGAAAGCTGCTCATCGCCTTGTAGTGTACATCTGTCATCGTCGTCTCATCATCAGGTATCTTCGCAAACCCAGCCAACCAGCCAGCCAACCACCAAGCTCATGCTCATGCCCCCAAATTCGCCCGCAGTAATCAACCAATCTCACTTTTTTCTTGTGCTTTCAGCCCCTTTCAACAATGTATTTCAAAACATGTGTCGTCTCTTAGAAAAGAATAGGAAGACAGGAAGAAGACCCCTTATCTCGTAGGATCGACGACATAGCGACCGGCAATCTTGGCCTCGTGCATGAGGGTGTAAATGTCCTGCAGCTGGCTGAGGCCAATGGTCTTGAAGGGCACGGTGATGAGGCCGCGGCGGAAGAAGTCGAGGGCCTCGGCGGTGTCGGCGCGGTTGCCGACGTAGCTGCCCTTGATGGTGATCATGCGGATGACGGTGTCGAAGACGGGGGCGCTGAGCTTGGCGCCGGCGGGCAGGCCGATGCAGACGAGGACGCCCTTGGAGCGCAGGTACTGGGTGGCCTGCTGGAAGGGCTTCTCCTGGGCGGCGACGAGGAGGGCGGCGTGGGGGCCCTCGCCGTCGAGGGTGGCGGCGCGGACGTCGGCGACGAGGTCCTTGCTCTTCTGGAAGTCGACGTAGGCGGAGGCGCCGAGGCGCAGGCACAGGTCGCGCTTCTCGTCGCCGGCGTCAATGGCGACGGAGTGCAGGCCCATTGCTTTGGCGTACTGCAGCGCGATGCTGCCGAGGCCGCCGCCGGCGCCGACGACGGCGATGGTCTGGCCGGGGCGGGCGAGGGATTCCTTGAGGCCCTTGTAGACGGTGATGCCGGCGCACAGGATGGGCGCGACCGACTCGAGGTCGCACTCCTTTGGGATGCGGGCGACGTGGGCGGCCTTGGCGATGGCGTACTCCTGGAAGGTGCCGTCGACGGTGTAGCCCGAGAGCAGGGCCTCGTGGCAGAGCGACTCGTCGCTGTTCATGCAGTAGCTGCAGCTGAGGCACGAGCCGTTGAGCCACTTGATGCCGGCGTGGTCGCCAATCTCAATGTCCTTGACGAGCTCGCCGCGGGCGACGACGACGCCGGCGCCCTCGTGGCCGCCGACGAGGGGCAGCTTCGTGTCGAGCGGCCAGTCGCCCATCATGGCGTGCAGGTCCGTGTGGCAGACGCCCGAGTACTTGATGTTGACGAGGACCTCGTCGGGGCCGGGCTTCTGGACGGGGATTCTCTTGTAGACGACGGCTTGGGAGGGGGAGGTGTTAGCTGTGTTTTGTTTTTCCATGGTGAGAAAGAGGAGGAGAGAGAGAGAGACGTACGTCCGCCGGTCTTTTCGACAACCTGCGCCCACTGTTCAGAGGGGATATCGATGCTGCCCATGGTGGATGGTGTCTTTTGGTGTTTTGTTTATCTGAAGGGAAGAGGAATTGAATTGTCGAGAGGATGTCAACTGTTGTTGAGCTGTGTCAAGTCTATAAGTAGAGATGAGGATTGATGGGAGAGAAGAGGGTCTGAGGAGACAAGATGGAGTGACATGTCGAGACTCGAGGAGGCGAACAGCAACAGCCTTTATACCCCCCCATCTCTGGTTGAACCGCAAAGCCATTTCAGCTACACGGGCAAGGCCAGGTACAACCGCCAGACAACAACAACAACAGGCGAGGTGATATCATGAGGTGGCCGATAGTACGAAAGGAAGTACTACTAGTTCTCCGTTGCAATTCTCCGTCTTCGGCTGGGCGGATCTTGCATCCTGGCCGGCGCCATGATTGGGTGGCTGCATCCTTCCAACTGCTGGGAACACGCAAGCCGTGACTGTTTCTGTGGGCAACCCAGGCCTAGTAGTTGGAGAGCCCAAAGGAAAAACAACGCCACGGAATCCATCGCTTCTCCGTATGCAAAAAAGACGGTTTGGAAGAGGTTGTTCAATCAAGCGGGCCATGGATCGGCTCGGAGAAGCGAAACCCACGGACGGCGCCTCTACCGGCTTACAGGGGTCCCCTCCCAAGGCCTGGAAGAACCTGAAGCTCCAGGGAGGGCGCTAGGCTGAAGCGGTTGGAGCTGCAGATGAAATGTCATGCCATGTCTGTGTCATGCCATTTAGATCAAGCCATGGGATGGAATATCAGATGCCCGCTCGCACGGTTTTTGGCCTCAGAAAAGCAAGCCACCCCATCCCTCACGTCCGCCGATACATAGTTTTGGCGTGTTGGGGCGGGTTTTGGAGATTTTACGATTGACGGGGGGCTGGGATTCTTTGGTTGCATCATCTCTGGTTGAGAGGGCATTCGTACATACTGTGTGATGGAAGTGCAGCATGTCTTTCTCGTGTTATGCTGTCGTCACCAATGTAAGTTGCTCCTCTTTTCTTGATTGTTGTTGAAACAAATATGACGGATTCAATGGAATGGGTAAAAGATTGACCTGTCTGCAGGATTCTACTCCCTTGCTCTCAATTTGCAAGGTCGAAACACCAACATCTGCATCTGCATGATTCATCGATAGAGTCTCCAGCATCACGAGCACGACCGTTCCGTCGCTCTGCAAGTGGAGATGATAACGTACACACATGCAAATGGCTGTTGCAACGACTCAGCTCCGTGTAGATCCGTCCAGCCAGCAATGAGGAGAAGCAAAAACGACGAAAGAGTCCAAAAGGTGTGCAACGCTAGGTGCAATGGAATCAGTGGCGTCTCCAGTCGGCTTCATCCTAACCTCCGAGTTGCGAAGCACTACTGGCCACTACTGTAATGGCAATGTAGGCAACTTGTGCTCCAATGACAACGAGGCAAGGAGGCTTTTTCCTAGGGTTTATGCCACTATGGAAAAGCCACCGATCCAGCTCCAACGCAACTTGATACGCACAAGGACGGAGCAAGAACGTAGATTGGATGCTGAGCGGCAAAACGGGCAAAAGTGGGTTCCTCGCATTGATGGGAAGAGGGGGAAGAATCCGGGGATGAAGTGGAGAGGGTGGTAGTAGTAGTACCATCACAGAGGCGGAGGAGGAGGAGAAGGGAGGAGAAGCAAGCTTGAATCTCAAACGTGGGGTTTGACGAGATCAACATGGAGAGATGGCCCACGGCCGATGCTTTGTTGTGGCAGCATGGGGGTTTCATGGGATGCCGGGGGATATCCCGGGCTGTCCTTGTGACTATAGGAGTCGACTGCCTTTCCGTGGGTTGCCCGTGTGGGATACATAGTAGACGAGACCATAGAGATGTCTGAAGACATTAGGTTAATATCAGTGATAGTACTACTATAGACTGATACCGCAAAGAGCTGTCCTGGCTTGCACGAGCACGACGATAGCCTCGATACATATCAACCAGAACCATCACCAACTCGGTAGAACTCTCGAGACCAAACAGAATAAGAAGCCTCCAACAATAGCTGCCTAGCCATTACGACTGCTCCTCGTCAACACCAACATGCCGACGAATACATCCCGGCGACTTTTACCCCATACTTGTTGAATCTTGTGTGTTCCCGTTCCGCCGATAGATGCGGGCCTCGATAGCGAGCTCCTTCGCTCGAACGGATCACCACCGAGTTGTTCTCCCAACAACACGCGCCCTTCCCCGGGGTGCTAATCGACTAGTAGTATCCCTCTCTCGTTCCTAGCTTGATTTCGCACCTCCCTTGTTCACTTTTGCTTTTCCTTGCTCGTTTACCCCTGTGAAATCTGGGGAAGTGCCCGACGCCGACGGACTACATACTAGTACTACTACATGTGATTACCCTGTACTGGTACGCCAAATGTAAAGAAGGCGTCAAATGCTTTTTGTCTCAGATCCTCCTCCGCCTCCCGCCCCCCAGTCCGGCTCTACGGAGGCACCAAAGATTGAATCTAGATGCGGGGAAAAGAAGAGAGGCATTGGAATCTGGGCCTAGAGCCTTGGTGCCTTGGCAAGGAGGCTTGCGGGAATCTTTCAGCTAAAAGGGCAAGAAGATGAGATGATCGGTTGAGGCGCATCTCTTGTTTGTATTTGGCTTTTGCAGACGAGGGGAGAGAGATGCAGTTAGTTGTCCTTGTTCATTTCGGGGGCACGCACGAAAGAATAGTGGCCGGTAGTTTCCTGCTCGGATGCATCTACGCAAAATCTGGGTGTCTCGCACCTTGGGGGGGCTGTCCGACTTGAACGAATATGGCGGAAGGCTGGAAACTGCTGGACGAGGTGACGAGGATGAGCATGCTACTCCTGCCTGGGCTCGGGCTTGCTGTGCGGTCCGTAGTTGCATGGAGTCGAAGTCTCGGAATATGATACAGCCCAGTCCCTGTCGTCCTCGCGTGCTTGAGACACGCCCTTGAATCCGACCCTTTCAACCCAATGATGCATCTCCGGCTTCCAAATCGACATCCCTTTGTTCTCCTTTCAAAGCTGCTTACCCCGGCAGAAGAAGGGCACCCAGACAAAAGGGCACAACACAACTCGCACACGGATTGCTGCAAACCACGGCCCCCCCTTTATATCTTTCACAATAAACATGGACTTGAAACTCCAGAAAAGAAGTCGTTATTTCATTATTGAAAGAAGACGAAAGCGCTTAAAATCGGTCGACATAGAAAGGTCTCCTCCCGCTTCTCTGCTCTCCCTCTCCCATCCTCAAGCTCCATCATTCCTTTTGTTCCGTGAATGAATCATGCCCCCCCCTCTCCTACGCAGACACCTCAACAGACTGCGGCACGCCGTCGGCCGTCGCCGAGTTGATCTTCTTGCCCGTCTTGGCAATCTTGGTCAGGACCGTCTCGTAGGGCAGCGCGGTGACGACCTTTGCCTTTTGGTTCTCGAGGGAGACTTCGTAGCTTTCGACGCCTGCCGTAAACACACGTTCAGTTGCTCTGTTCTCTCTTTCAAGACGAGGGCAGCACCTTTGCTCTCTACAACTCTTCACCACCGATTGATTGAGAGAGGAGATTGGGGGTGCGGGCGGGCAGAGGAGGGGGTTTTCGGTTGGACGTACCTTCAAGCTTCTTGAGGACACGGTCGATGGCGCCGGAGCAGCCGCCGCAGGTCATGGTGACGTCGAACTCGTAGGTGTGCGTGTCAGACATGGTGGACTATTTTCTTGTTCTTGTTTATTGTTTCTTTTTTTGGTTCTTTGTTGGTGTCGTTGTCGGACGTCGGATGTTGTTGTTGCGGAAAAAGGGAAGAAGAATGGAGAAACGAGGAGCGATGCGGCTAGATTGGTGGTGGTGGTTAGGTGGAAATGCGCCCGTTGGAACTGACAAATGCTGGCTGGTATAGGATGGGATGCGACAAAAGAACAGAGACAGGCGGGCAATTCTTCTTTTTATGATGAGGCAGAGAGGCTGACTTGGTAGATGACAACAACGCGGAGCTGTATTAATAATATGCTCTCTCTTTCTTTGTTCCAAATGTCTGAATGTAATACAAAAGTAATCTATAAAAGGATGCCTTCTCTCGTCACCGCAGCGCGAATTGCGCCACACCTCAATTGCCATCCAGGGACCATGTACTCAATACTTATATTCTCACTTCAATTGAGTGCTTTTTCGAGGCGCTTGAGAGTACCAGCTACGTAGCGTAAAGCGGGACAATAGGGACCCCGCCGGAGGGGGAAAAGAGGCTGTTTTGCAGGTGAAACTTGCTCACTTTCGGTTTCGAGGCGGTTTCAATTGCGGGTGAAACTCGAGAATAGGGGGGAGCTGTACGAGTATGTATCCGAGTGTGTCAGGATTGAGAGGACGCTCTTCTTTGATATGTCAACTGACACGTTTGTTCTTTTGCACTTTCAGCTCCTGAGGCGTATGATGTCGTTTGATAGGCACATAGGCCATGATAGTCAAGGGGGTTGTTGGACAAAGGGGCTGCGGTATTTGTGCCGTGGTGTATCGTCGACTAGCCTCACCTCTTGGACGGATCCGTGACAGATACAGACTCGAGTCTCGCCACCATATCCCATCAGCGACCCAGCTAGAATCACTCGTCAAACACATAATCCATACAGCGCAATGATGAACTCCGACTAGAACCGCGCCTCAACCTTGTCCAGCGTGTCCTGCAGCGCCCAATCGCTCCTCGCCCGCCTGCTCATGACCCCCTCCGCCTGCTCCCTCGTGAACCCCCTGGCCTCGACCGCCGGGTTGTACCCCAGCCCGTTGGCCTCGCCGACGGCCGCCGAGTCCATGGCCGGCGCGGCCTGCCCGTCGGCCCGCCTGTACACCGTCACGACGACGGCGCCGCCGAGCCCGAGGTTGTGCTGCAGGCAGTGCCGCGTCTCGCGGCCCCGGGCGGCGCGGTTCCTTTACTAACAGAAGAAATACTTAACTTACTTCTCACTTCACTCAACTTCGTCAAGATCGTCATCCGAAATATATGTACAAGATAAGTTGCCGTAAGCCTACTAAACTTCGTGTAGGTATTCTGAGCCGGCTATAAGTCGTGTAGCCTAGGCATTCTGAGCCGGCCACGCCGGCCGCATTAGGGTAAAGATGCGAAACTCTTTCCACCGGCTGAATGCTGTGAGAGCCGGCTCTAGGAAGACCGAAGGGGGACTACTGAGATTGTTCGGTGTACCGTGAAAAGAGGAGATATATAGTAGAGAGGTCGATACGGAATGTTTAGTAGTCGTGGTGCTGAATAGGGGGCCGGTTTACGTTTAGCGTTAGCTGCGACAACTTCGATGTCGAGGTAGTCGGGCTAGCCGAAGAAGGAGCCCCGAGGGCGAGAAGCCGGCCAGGCGTTGGTCGCGCAGGCTATAGACGTCGCCGGCCCGGCGGCCCAGCTTCGGCCGGAACTACCGGGCCGACATCTGCGCCAACTGGACCGCCCGGCTGTGCGGCACCTCCTCGCGGCGCTAGAGGCACCTCCTCTCCAGGCAACACCGAAACTCCCGCTCCTACCGCGGAGCCCGCCGACACAGCCTAAACCGCGTACAGTAAACAAAAACGGAGAAAGACACCGATAACAAAGCCCACAGATAAACTTTCCGAGAGCTCCAACGACCACGACAAACTATCTCTGCATGTTCATACCTTTACCCAGCTAAAACCCACATAACCCGGCGAAACAACGATGGAATGGGTCGAACGGTCCCCTGGTCATGACATGTATTCCATGGACCAGACAAACCCGAAATCGCACCGTTAGCCCATAGTATAGAATACGAGCTGCCCTCCTGGTTCCCGTACCTCAACGTCGTAAAAGCGACAAAGTTAAAGTTCTAACTGTACGACAGCTGTTGGAGAAAAAAGCCTTGTTCTATTGCCGCCTAGGGCTTCGGAAAAGTTTGTACACGAAAGAGACCCGGTTTTCCCCCGTTAGAAGTTGAACAACCGACGTACGTTGTCGTAGCTGCCCGGCCTCGGCAATATGGAGCCGTAGCACGCGGCCCGGACTAGTCGTGGGGGCCTAACACAAAGGGGCGTAAGACTCCGCTACGTAACTTAACCCCCAACACTCAGGTGTGGTAATATAGTTCCCTCGTGTTGGTAGGCAAGATGACCAATGGTGAGGAGAACGTCGATGAGACTACCTAACTTCTCGGTTTCAACAACCGCCTTAGTGAAGAGTGAGTTTGGAGTAGTGGTGGCGGCGGTAGTAGTAGTGTGGTAGTACTGGTCGGTTTTCAGCGGGCAGATGCAGGAGCCGCACCCGTACTGGTTCAAGTAGTTCGGCGCGCCGTTCCAGCTGATGTGGCTCGAGCCGAAGCTCCGCCCGTAGTTCCGTGAGGATCTGCGCGCGTAGTGGATGCTGCTGCAGCTGGTCCGCCACCGCACGATGACGATGCCGCTGTCGTGGACGCCCGTCGCGCACGACATGGTCAAGCCCGACTGCCCCTAGGGGCACATGTTGCAGTTGTTGTTGACGAGCTGCCCCAGCTGCCCCGACCGGTACCGCGCGCCGGAGCAGCGGCCGCCGCGCCGCGTGACGCAGTACCAGCAGCCGAAGCTCTTCTACGTCCGGCCGTCGGACGCGTCGGTGACCCGCCTGGCGCTCTTGGGCTGCCCGTGCTGCGAGTTCGAGTACCGGCTCTGCTCCCCGCAGCACGGGCCGCGAGGGCCCCGGCGCGTCTACAAACCGTTGCGGCCGTCCCTCATATAGCTTTTCGTGCCGCGCTGCCGGCTCCTGAAACGGCTCTAACGCGCGCAGTTGGTGCGGGTGAGCGGGTTGTTGGGCATGAGCGTCAAGGTCGTCCACATGAGCGAGCTGCTCTATAACGTCAGCGGGCGGTAGGTGCTCGGGGACTGCTTCGACGTCACGACGGGCTGCAGGCTGCCGCCGCGCCGCCGATAGGAGCACAGCTTCCTCAAAGAGCTGTCCGCCGGCGTGGACTCCCGGGTCCGGCACCTCTAACGGCCCGTCACGGAGCGGTGCCTGCCGGGCTCGCACAAAAGTCCGTCGCGGTAACTAGACTACCCGATGCTCTACTGCGCCGCCCGGCACCTCCGCCGCTGCGCGCTCCGCCCGTAGAGCCGCGCGCTGCTGCAGGTCCAGCACCTCGACGTGCTGACGAAGTCGCGTTTGCTCTACCACCGGGAGCTGCGGGAGCCCAACTCGCTGTCCCCGTTCCGCGTGCTCGACCACGCGTCCCCGCTGGACTGCATGCCGCCGTTCATAGAGCAGTTGGGAAGGCCGCCCGAGTAGAGGTTCCCGGTGGGCGACCCGCGCTGCCCGTAGCGCGTCACGCGGCTCGACCAGACCGTGGACGCGCCCACCCGGTTGTTGGCGCCGCAGCTCCCG